ATAACTGCAGGGAAGTCTCTGGACTGAAGTTGATTATTGCAGCAGAAGCTGTTGGTTTTTCTTTGAATGGCTATTTTTTTTCTTATTTTCTTGTGGAATGCTTGTGTCCCCTCTGCCCACTATAGTACCATTCACTGACCTCTACGTCACTTGGAGGAAGAGACTACAGCACACAGCAGGGGGGTCGGTCATCTGACAGTCATCTCCTGGAAGTGTAGGATGCCGAAGACACTGAGGGGAATTTATCAAAACAAAACAAAATCTGGAGCAGCTGTGCACTGCAACCAATCAGCTTCTCTCATTCATTTTTAAATCTTAACTAAACAAACTGAAGAGAGAAACTGATTGGTTGCCCTGGACAACTGCTCCAGATTTTGTCTGCTCCAGTTCTGATAAATTCCCCTCACAGTATGCACATACTTTCAGAAAGCAGATAATTGCGTTAAGTTTTCTGGGCATGTAGCAGTACATCCGGGCAGTGGGTGGGACTGGGAAGGTACCGGCAGGCACCTTTGATGTCTTTTGTTCTGCAATTATTTTACTTTGCTGGGTCTGCACTAAATGCAGGTACACTTTAAATGCACTTTAAAATACATGAACGAATGTGTATCTTATGAAAACTTGAAATCGTGAACCTAGCCCTGGTACAAGGTTTTCCAGCTGGCCTATCCTACTTTACTATAGTATTGACCTTTAATTTGTGCTGGTTTCCCAAATGAGCTATTTTAGTATGAGAATAGACTTGTAAATATTTAAATGAGCGTGCGCTATTCACCACCTGTGAAGATTGTTCAGGCTCACTGGGTGTTATATAAAGCCGCACTGCTGGCTCTTCCTTTTCTTCAAAGCGGTAACGGAACAATACAAAACCGTATCTCATATATGAATTATAATTCCATTTTAAAACCAATTTTCTTCACACGTCCACAAAATGTATTATGTATATCTTTACATAATAGCTATTAATTTAACTTTTATCACAAGGTATGTCTTATTTTAGTAAACTCTTTTTGTTTATAAAGAAAAAACCTGTACTTTATTAAAAGTTATATTAATTCAATTTATATTTCTTTGATGATACAAATTCCTGGACCTCCACTTAAAATTTACTTTGATTTTATTATGGTACGAAAAAAAATTGACATACCATAATATAGTGTAATCAATTGTATTTCTGGAATAATATGCCATTTCCATTTTAGCAACTCACGGTTCCCCATGGGGATGCTCCGATACCACTTTTTTAAGTATGAGTACCGATACTTTTCTTCAAGTACTCACCGATACCAATTACCGATACTTTTTCTTAAAGGGACAGGCCACATTTTTTCTAAAGCAATACAAAATCATGATTTTAGGTCAGTTTCTTAATATTATGAAGAACATGAACATGAAATGAACATGAAATTAATTTTTATCATGCCATTGCTAACTAAGGCTTGTATCCCCATAGTGGGGAAAATAGATGAGCACATGTGCAGACTCCAGACAAGAACACTGTATAGTGTGGCACAGCTATATCCAATTCTGCATACCTGGCTTTATATTATTATTATTACATTTTTTTAAAATAAAGCCAGGTATGCAGAATTGGATATAGATGTGCCACGCCACACTATACAGTGTTCTGGTCTGGAGTCTGGACATGTGATCATCTATTTTCCCCACTAGGGGGATACAATAGCCTTAGTTAGCAATATCTACATAGTTATTTCTTTATTTAATGTCTTTTTTTTAAATATTATATGCAGTTAAACAGCATTTTTGTGCCCAGCCCCCATGCGGTGCTGCAGTACTAACCTGCTGTGTCATCTTCGTCTGCTTCTGCCACTCCGTGTCACAGCCTAGTCATCTGCTCCATTCTGGCCTCTTCTCCCGCTAATTGGCCGATTGGATGATTGACAGACTTCCTCACCAGTCACTCCTCACC